AACAAACAACATCATCGTCCAATACATGTCCAACTGGCCGGTCTAATACACAGTCACGAATGGGTTGACATTATTTATACAATTATTACAATAATGCAGTAGTCTGCATAATAGTAAATCCTCTATTTTTTGTGTGAATAAAAATTCAAAATGGAAAGCAAGTGTAATATAAGAGGGGCCTGAAGATGTGATAATGAACAGAGAAAAATGTTTTAGTGCCACTTAATCGAAAGAATAGGAGGAATACTAGCGAAGTAGCTATAAGTTTGGTAGACTGGAACAATGGAATGGGCCAAAAATAGGGTGTAAAGTGGGTGAAATCGCTTATGTGTAAATATCGCTGTTGGGTTAAGTATTCTAACCTAACCACTCTGTAATCCGGCAAAATATTTTCACTAATCCGGCACCCTATAGGTCCCGATAATGCCGGATTAGTGATGGTCAACCTGTACTAGATTGTTTACAGAGAATAAAATTAATATTCTTGATTGACCATCACAAGTATCAGGCCATACTCACACCAATAAAAAAATTGCGGTAGGAACTAAAAATAGCAATTTGCAAGTGCAAATTGCTGTTTTTATGAGAAAATGTTAAGCCTGTAAGAGTCATACAGTACCAGGAGAATGGGAGGTAATTAGTCTGAAGAACGGAAGAGTGGCTCCAATTCCCTCCATCAGGAGCCCTTCACCCATATCAAGTCACCTTCTTTGAAGGACATGCAACATGGAGAAGCCAGAAAGAAACTGTGTTGGAGTGGTCAAACATTCCTTCTGAGAAGTTGATTACCTATTAAAATAGCTATAGAATGTCTTGTCCACCTAAAAAGCAAAAGAGGTTTCAGAAAGTTCTGATCAGTGGAATATGAAAGATAAGAGAATTGTGTGTTTTGTAATAAACTATTAATTTATATTTACAGTTATACAACTGATACTAAGTTTTGAAATTCTGTTGAAACAGTAAATTGCTAAATCAACTTTTAAAACTGTCATCAGGGATATGCATTTAACAGTAATTAATGCAAAAAATTATCTATAGAGCATAGGCTTTCTCATATTTCTGAACAATGTTAAACAAAATACTAAGAAACATATGTCATGCCTAATAATCCGAATTAGTCAGTCAGGCTGAATTACCCTTAAAATTAAACTTTTCGGGGTTGATAGATATATTATTTTCATTGAAAATGGAATAAAAAATTTTAGTTGAGCATATCCCTAACTTGAGACCTCACCTAACCTTTCCATAATGAACATAGTTTATTGTAGCCTAATTCTACTCAACATATCATAGATCAATTTAAATTTGTTTGATATTAATGAAAAATCAATGATATATATTTTTTCGTTATCTTCTGACTGATTTTCACAGATTTGTTGCATAAACAAATTTTTATTCTGCCCATTTAGTAAAAATAATAATTGTTTTTTAAGCCAAACTTGCCGATTCAGCTTATTCAGCACGCAACACACATTCCCTTTCCCCTCCACACACACACACACACACACACACACACACACACACACACACACACACACACACACCACAACACACACACACACACACACACACACACACACACACACACACAACACACACACACACACACTCACACAAGATTAAGGGAAATCGGCCTGACGACACTGGAGGACAGGAGGGTCAAGGGAGACATGATAACGACATATAAAATACTGCGTGGAATAGACAAGGTGGACAAGGACAGGATGTTCCAGGGAGGGGACACAGAAACAAGAGGCCACAATTGGAAGTTGAAGACACAAATGAGTCAGAGAGATAGTAGGAAGTATTTCTTCAGTCATAGAGTTGTAAGGCAGTGGAATAGCCTAGAAAATGACGTAGTGGAGGCAGGAACCATACACAGTTTTAAGACGAGGTTTGATAAAGCTCATGGGGCGGGGAGAGAGAGGGTCTAGTAGCAACCGGTGAAGAGGCGGGGCCAGGAGCTAGGACTCGACCCCTGCAACCACAAATAGGTGAGTACAAATAGGTGAGTACACACACACACACACACACACACACCCTACATGATGATCCCTTCTGCAGACTGTTAAATTCTCATTGCCTGAATCATCCTAGAGCTTATCACTCTGATTTCTGTTTGTGTCCTGTATTGTGAGGAATGTGAGATTTGCAGCCTAAAGGAGGAAAGCATGATGTATGGCTAACCCATAACCCATCTTCATCAGAAATTTTGTTTGTGTCATTTTAAAACTTGACATAATGAATCACATCTGCAAATCCATTGATCACAATAACCAATCTTGTAAGTGCACTCCTTGCCTTAATTTAAATGATATATACATCCTTCTTGCTCTTGACAGTACCCAATTTTCAAATGGAAATGTGATATCTATTGCAGTTTTTGAAAGAAAAAGAAGGCATGCTATATGGGAAGCTATCAGCCTTCTCTTACACCAGTTGCCCTTTGCCCATTAATCTAGACATAAAGCAATGACCTAACACATTTACACCTGTATTCAATATGACATCATTTCCCATTGGTTGCTGGAGCACGAAGGCAAGGAGACAAACACACAAACACACACACACACACACACACCAGGCCTAGTGTCTAATCGACATGTGCCTAGGACAAAATGGTAACACACACACACACACATCAGGCCTAGTGTCTAATCGACATGTGCCTAGGACAAAATGGTAACTAACACACACACGCACGCACGCATGCATGCATGCATGCATGGAGAAAAATCATCAGGAGAGTGATGGGGCATCTAGAAAGACACAAGCTTATGAAAGACAACTAGCATTGTTTCAGGGAAGGAAAATCCTGTGTGACAAACCTACTGGAGTTTTATGACAAGGTAACAAAAGTAAGACACAAGAGAGAGGGGTGGATAGGCTGCATTTTCTTGGACTGCAAGAAGGCCTTCGACACAGTTCCTCACTAGAGGTTAATGCAAAAGCTAGGGGATCAGGCACACATAACAGTAAAAGCACTGCAATGGATCAGAGAATATCTGACAGGGAGGCAACAACGAGTCATGGTATGCGACAAGGTGTCAGAGTTGGTGCCTGTGACAAGCAGGGTTCCACAGGGGTCAGTCCTAGGACCTGTGCTGTTTTTGGTATATGTTAATGATGTAATGGAAGAGATAGACTCAGAAGTGTCCCTGTTCACAGATGATGTGTAGTTAATGAGGAGAATTAAATTGGTCGAGGATCAGGTAGGACTACAAAGAGACCTGGACAGGCTGCAAGCCTGGTCCAGTAACTGGCTCCTTGAATTTAACCCTGCCAAATGCAAAGTCATGAAGATTGGGGAAGGGCAAAGAAGACCACAGACAGAGTATAGTCTAGGTGGCCAAAGACTGCAAACCTCACTCAAGGAAAAAGATCTAGGGGTGAGTATAATACCAAGCACATCTCCTAAGGTGCACATCAATCAGATTACTGCTGCAGTATACGGGCATCTAGCAAACCTAAGAATAGCGTTCCGATACCTCAGTAAGGAATGCCACACGTATGTATGCCACACACACACGCATGCATCCCACATATGTATGTGTGCTACACACACACATTTTTGCACACACAAGCACTTGTGTATGCAAGCATGCTTGCCAAACACACGCATGCTTGCCAAACACACGCATGCCATACATGCATGCATACCACATACACACACGTCACACACACACACCACACATGTACTTATGCCACCCACACATGCATACGTATGCATACAACACAGCACATGCACACACATACACATATGCCACACACATACATGCAAGCACCTACCCTACTTACATCTACCTCTACTTACATTCTTTTCATGTTATAAGCAAGACAACACTGAACAGGTATTGCTAAACAAAGAAAGTCACTTACTCCAGTATAACATTTTGGAAAAAAAATCCACACAGTATAAATAACTACGTATATACATTATTGAGGCAAGAGTGTGTTACTTGTTGAAAGTTATACTGCACTCCCTTGCTTCTGATGAAAATAGTGCTTCTCAGATGAGAATTTGGATTTAATACTTAGATTGTTCATGAATGGTCAGTGTATGTATATAGGTTGGTGCCCCAAAGTGGTAGACATTTTTCATTGGTTTATAAATTATGAATATGTAAATTTAAATTTATTCCCAAAAAACAAATGCTAATGTTTAAAATATGAAATGGACAAACTCTGTCTCTGCGAAATAAGAACAATACAATTTAAAAGTTAATTGTTATAGTAAAATTTCAATTTATAAAGCTCTCATGACTGCCATTTAAAGTGTTGAGTGATTGTTGAACAAAAGCATGACACATTATTTTCCATTTTTAGTACTGTAAAGTTTAGTTTTTCAGTGGTGCAAATAGTCAGACCTCTTGTGATATAAGCCTCGAAGGACCATTTGTATTTCTTCTCTTTATGAATAATGCAATTTTCTCTCAGTATGCATATTGTACCAGTCTCATTGTTAACCAGATTGTTATGATTTGTTTAAACTTCAACTTATTAATTAAATATAAAGACTTGGCATACCCATTTTTTAACACTGGGTAAATTGTAATAAATTAAAGTATACTGGATAGTATTTTTGGGTATATATATATAGATAGCTCTTACTTATCTAGAAATAAGATGCAGAGTTAACAACATATTTTTATTATATGTATTTACTGTCAAAGTATTTATTTTATCTTTTTCCAAGGCATTCTCAACGAGATAGGAGGGAAAGGAATCGTTTAATCTAGGAGTACTTGCTCATATGTCCAAATCAAGTAGAATGAAAGTCTATTGATAGATTACCAACTTTGATTTTATGTGGTTAATTATAGAGCTCAAAGATGGGAATAGATGATAATTATTTATTGTACATTGCAGAGAATGAAACATTAAGTTTACATCTTATTTGTTTTTAAAGTGTTGAGATTACATTATATAATGTTAATTTTAATTATAATTGTATTTTGGCAGTGCTGTATAATGTTACAATAGTACTGCAAAGTGCCAGTTATCCAGAAATAAACCTGTGAATGCTATACTTTTGACTTCAGATTTTCATAATGAAGATTTACCAAAAATAAATATGCTCAGTTCACATAAAGAAATAACCTGGTATACCTTAACCATAATTATTTTTCATGGTAAATTTATTAAAAAATAAAAAAATAAATAAAATGTTTGTTCAAGCAACAATTGGTGCTCATTGAGTTGTATCTTATATTCCTTAAAACTCTCTTGAGACTTCAGATAGTGTTGCCTTAAAATGAAGTATTATAAAGCAATAGTATTTAAACAAGTCATATATATGCACAGAAGCTAACTCATATTTCCAAATTAAACTTCAGTAATCAAGCAGTACTGTAAATATTCATATTGGAGAATTTCATACATTGGTTTAACTCTCACTTATTATATTGCAAGTTGATAATTGTGGCATAATTTGTATTTCACAAGGAGACAATAAAATCACGATTGGTTACTCTGTGAATTTACAATTGAGTTCCTACATATGTATTTTAACTACATTACATCTATTCATCAAAATCTATGTTGAAGGAAGCTTTGTTAAGGACTGGCATGTATAAGAATAGAGCATCCAAGAGTATTTTATATGCACTGTCTTTAAAGTTTATCTACAGATTAATTTTTGAATAATGTAATTAGGCTACTAGTTAAAGATGAGTAAAGAATTATTACCTGTAATAAATTTCTAAAGACACTAATTTTTTTTTTATCTACTCAAGATAAAGAACCATGAAAACATTTAACTGTTATTGTCATGGACCTCTCATGATTTACAAATCAGGGAGGCAACATGGACTTCAAAGACATAAAAATAAAACAATTGAGAGAAACATTTTAAAATTCAGTGGGTTCTTTGGAGGATTTTGGTTTGAACTGAAAGTCATTGAGAGCCATGCAAGAGGCTTTTCAAATTAAAAGATTTATGACAAACTGGAGATGGATACATATACTGCCAAATTTAAAATTGACCTGGATAATTGGCACACAACTGCAATTATACAGAGATATTGTTAAGTCATGTCCATGAGACAGTGTTGTACAGATTGCTATGACTGCCAAGATTTTTCTGAAGTACTTCCAAACCCATTCTACCCCCCCCCCATCCCTTTTAAAAAATATAATGCTTGCTACTCAAAATTGGTTTCTTCCAATTGAAAAGGTTTTCATATTAGCAAAGTTTAGAAGTGTTTTATATGCAAAGTTAGATTTCAGCTGTTTTCTTATTCACTGTCTTAGATGTAAGCCATCATAAGGTTTTTTTTTTTTTTGTATAGTTTCTTACTGTACTCATTTTTTTAATTTCTTAATGTTTCTTATCCATTTCCCAAGAAAAGTATTCCTGATCTCTTATCATTTTCATGGCCTCTCATTTGCTTTGTAAAAGCATGTAAATTATCAATGTATATAGAGATTTAAGAGTTCCAGATTTTTATGTAAAGTCATGTATTCATGATCATGGTCAGTGTGTATTCACATGTTATTTTCAGACCTTCCCTACTTTTTTACATATAATTCTTAGTAACTGCTTGAATACAAAGTCACTAAAGGTTTTTCTTATACAAGCTGATCTCTTGAGATTTCATGTGTGATTTGTCCGTTATTATTAATGATACTCAAGCAATAACTAAGAATATGATTTATTGACTGATAACTCATGCTGTACAACTGGAAGGTCTGTCTTATAGCTCATTTATAAGGCACTCCAATTACTTGCACAGAGGTTTCTAGAGTGATGAGAGTCTTTTGTGAATCAAATACTACTTGACTAGCAGAACAGTATGAGTTATCAGTCTAACCTACTTTATTTACACACAATATATTTTAGTGTAGGGTCAAGGAGACAGCGTCAGTGTAAATAATGCAACCGCCCAAATACAGATAGCACAACTTGTAATGTGAGCTGCAATTTGGCACAGGTTACATATGGTGCCCACGAGGCTAGTTTTCCAGTAAATAAGAAAAATCTTATTGGAATTGTATGGTAATGCTTGCAAAGTTGTGAGCCTTGTGGCAATTTTGAGAGGCACATTCTACCTATTACTAGTCTCCAGAATTTCTGTATTTTGTTCTGCAGTGGTTTACTAATGTTCTGTTTTAGTGATGTAATTATTTATGTAAAACTAGGCGGGAAATATCAAATTTAGTTGTCTTTAAAAAATGATACAGCTGAAGTTAATGTTCACAAGTTGCCTGTTGCTTAGTTATTTTTAATACATTTATTTTCATATTTTGAAATTAAGAGTGATGTTATGATGGAAGATCTGATATTATGCATTTAATACCAAACAGAACATTGTACATAAATGTTCCCTTGTGTTTTATAGATCATGCTCACAGGAGATGGAAGGTTTAGGCACAAATATACTGACTTTTAAAAAATATAATTTAACATATAATAGACCTGGAATTTAATCAAAGACGCTTCTCAACAAGTGCTTAAAAATTCAAATTTTCATTGGTTTCCCGTAGGGAATAAGGTGAAACTTTAAATATTAGAAGTTCCAGACATCTGTAGTAATTTTATAATCACCTGCTGCAATTTGTCCTTTTTTATAATATTTGTTTTGATTTCAGGGATTAATTAGAAACATCTTTGCCTAAAATCTAGGTCACTGGTTTAGAAGCCATTATTACTAATATATTTTATATCAAGTCAGTAGTACATAATTAAAAAATAATAGCCCCTTCCACTCAGCATCTTGTGAACATGATCATATTAGATAGATATATTAGAGAAGAAATATTAAAGTGTATGGATAGTTCTTCATGGTGTTCCTATAATCCTTATCCTCTAATTATCTGGATATCATCAATATTAATAGGAATATTTAAGTGCTCCATTCACTTATACGTATATGCTTCTAAACTGTTGTGTTCTGAGCACCTCTGCAAAAACAGTGATTATGTGTGAGTGAGGTGAAAGTGTTGAATGATGATGAAAGTATTTTCTTTTTGGGGATTTTATTTCTTTTTGGGTCACCCTGCCTCAGTGGGAGACGGCCGACTTGTTGAAAAAAAAAAAATTAAGTGCTATAAAATGCACAAGTAAATTTATATTACTCAATTCCTCTTAAGAGGAATCTAGCTGTGCTCTACATCTTGGTGTTCCCCAGTAACATGCTTAGTGGTTTTCATCCTGCCCCTTTACCTTGAGTATAACTGACTTGTGGATTTTGACATTTAATTTTGGATTCAGTATTAGGGATTGCACCTTATGGGCCATGCACAATTCAGATGCCTTTTTTTTTTGAACACTTCATGGATTTTGATCTTAATGAAATTTTGGATTCTGTAGTGTGGATAGTGTCTTGTGGGACTAACTGCTCTGGTACCCATTTTTTGGCTGATCTATTTACATTGTTGACTGATTAATATGTTTTTATCTAGAATGAATATTGGATTCTGTATGTACCTGTGACCAGTTATTTTTTTTTTCAGCCTGGCCTGAGGCCAGGCTCTTCTGTTGGTTGCCTGTTCAGGCAAGCTGTTGCTGCTGGTGGCCCACTGGCTCACATATCCATCACAGCCTGACCAATCTGGCACTTGGTGTAAGTAGTAATCCAGTTGCCCCTTCAGAATTTCTACACTTGTTCATGATATTTGCTGGTAGCAGGTTGAATAGTCTTGGATCATGGATGTTGACAATGTTCTCTTACTGTGCCTATGGCACCCCTACTTTTCAATGGGTCTAGTTTACACTTCCATATTTTGCTCTCCAGTATGTTATGGCAGTGTGTAGATTTGGAACTAAGCCCTCCAGTATCTTTTGTGCATGAGGGCAGATTGATAAGTCTTTGTGTCCATGATCTTTTCTTGGCAAAAATACAACTTATCCATGTTTAATATTGTTTATTGGTTACTTCTCAGCATAATCGTCAAGTCTATTGAGACACTTATCCAAATATAATCCGAACAAATGGAAAGTGCTGGGGCAAGATTAGGGCTGCAATTGTATTTTTGTCAGGAAAAATAAAGTACACAAAGACTTTTCGATTTACCCTCATATATATTGTCAGGCATCTTTTTTCTCTCCATTGAGTACATTCCAAGCACTTTCAGACATTTTCAGCAGTTTAAAGCCTTATTAGGTCTGTTTAAGCAGTTAATGACCTCTGTACCTTTTCTAGACTTGATATCCTGCCATGACTGGGGCTATCAACAATGAATAGTATTCTAAGCAAGAGAATATAAGTGATTTGTATAACATTACTATTGGCATTATTTTTCTTTTGAAAATTCTCATCATACAACATATCATTTTTTCTGGAATTTGTCTTTTTGTGTTTTCTAAATAATAGATTATATAACATTATCGCTATGGCCAGGTCTTTTACATGTTCCTTTTAATCTGTGAGATGGGCTTCCTGTGCTTTATAGATCATTTTTCACTCAGTTGCCCCTGTATAGTTTTGATTATTTGTTGGTCTTAACCTGTGTTGTGTTTTAGCTTGTGGGTATGCTGTGCTTGTGTAAGACTGATGTGTTTATTTATATTTCTTTATTGTGTGACCATTGTTATTTGTTTGACCTTTTTGTTTGAAACCTTTGTTTGGTCATTTGTATGAGTATTTTTACTATTCCTTTTTTATGATCATTATTTTTTTGGTATAACCATTGTCAAGTTTTATATGACTGTTGTCATGTTTATCTTTTGTACAGTGCTGTATGATCCCCAAAAGATACGTGGAGAGGGTTTCGGAGGTTAACGTCCCCGTGGCTTGGTCTAAGACCAGGCCTTGTGGTGGATCGGGGTCTGATCAGTCAGGCTGTTACTGCTGGCTACACACAAACTGATGTATGAACCACAGCCCAGCTGGTCAGATGCTGACGTTACGTGCCTGTCCAGTGCTTCTTGAGTACAGTCAGGGGTCTGTTGGTAATCCCCCTTATGTATGCTGGGAGGCAGTTGAACAGTCTTGGGCCCCTGATGCTAATTGTGTCATCTCTCAGTGTACTCATGGCACCCCTGCTTTTTTCATTGGGGGACTGTTGCATCTGCTGCCAAGTCTTTTGTTTTCTTATGGAGTGATTTTCGTGTGCAAGTTTGGTACTAACCCCCCCTAGGATTTTCCAAGTGTATATTATCATGTATCTCTCTTGCCTGCATTCCAGGGAATACAAATGAAAAGACTTCAACCATTCCCAGTAATTTAGGTGTCTTATTGTACTTACGTGTGCCATGAAAGTTTTTTGTATACTCTCCAGGTCAGCAATTTTGCCTGCCTTGCAGGGGGCAGTTAGTGTACAGCATTATCCCAGCCTAGAGAGAACAAGCGATTTGAAGAGAATCATCATGGGCTTGGTGTCCCTAGTTTTGAAGGTTCTCATTATCCATAATATTTTCCTAGCAGATGCGGGTTGTGGTGTTTGAAGGTGGATCCTCTGACATTATCACTCCCAGGTCCTTCACATTATGTACTTTTTTGCTCTATTGTATGGTTACAATTTGTTGTATACCCTGATACAGTTTTAATTTTCTCAAGTTTTCCATATCTGAGTAGTTAAAATTTCTCTTAACTGAACTTTATATTGTTTTGAGTGGCCCATTTGAAGATTCGGTTGATGTCCGCTTCGAGTCTTGTGGTGTCTTCGATGGAGGACACTGTCATGGCAATTCAGGTGTCATCTGGAAAGGAAAACACGGAGCTATGGCTTACATCTCTATGTCAGTTATGAGGATGACGAATAGGATGGGAGCAGGTACAGCCTCTCCTCACTTAACGATGCACTCGTTTACCGACGCCTTGGACTTAGCATGGGCTCTCTCACCAGTATTCATACATAATGTATATTAGAGCCAATTTCCTCTATTCTGTTTATTTCAATATACAGTAAACTGCTGTATAAACATTTAAAAATATACCAGAAATGTTATAAATGGTGCAAAGGTGACATTAAAACAATATCAAAGATGGCTGACACAAACTCACTACCATTATAGTATGCTCCTCACTTAGTGACGAATTCGTTTAACGACGTCTCAGGAATGGAATTTCGTCGTTAAGTGAGGAGAGGCTGTACTGTGCTTTTCACTGTAGCTGCCTCGGACTTTACTCTTTTTACTATTACTCTGTGTTCTATTTGTCAGGAAGTTATAGAGCCATCTACCAACTTTTCCTGTTATTCATTATAACGCATTTTGTGCGCTATTACACAATGTCGCACTTGTTGAAAGCTTTTGCAAAGTCTGTGTATACTACATCTGCATTTTGTTTATCCTCTATAGCATCCAGGACCTTGTCATAGTGATCCAGTAGTTGGGACAGGCAGGAGCAATCTGCTCTAAACTCGTGTTGCCTTGGGTTGTGTAATTAACTGGTATCTAGGTGGTTGGCGATCTTGCTACTTAGAACCCTTTCAAAGATTTTTATTACATATATGGGATGTTACTGCTATCTGTCTGTGGTTCTTTGCAATTGCTTTACTGCCACCTTTGTAGAGTGGGGTTATGTCTGTTGTTTTTAGTGAGTGTGGGCTGACTCCTGTGTCCATGCTGTCTCTCTCCATAGAATGCTGAAGCCATGTGACAGGGGCTTCTTGCAGTTCTTGATAAACACAGAGTTCCATGAGTCTGGACCTGGGGAAGAGTGCATTGGGATGTCATTTATTGTTTTTTCAAAGTTTTGTGGTGTTAGGATAATATCAGAGATTTTTGAAATGACCAGATTTTGGGTCTCATTCATAAAGAATTTACTTGGATTGTCAACCCTTAGTCTGGGTAAAAGCATGCTGAACACTGAGTCTTATTGGGACTTTCACTCATTTCATGGCTGTCGTCTGTGTATGTCCCGTCTCGCCTAAGCAGGGGCCCAATACTGGATGTTGTTTTTCCCTTGGATTTGGCGTAGGAGAAGTATTTTTTTTTTAATTTCCTTTATGGCTTTTAGTTCTTTCTGAAAAGAAGTGTATTTAGCTTTCTTAAGATGTGTAGTGAATAATGATTACATAACCAGTGTGGAGGATTTTCCTTCCTTTCCTTTACTTTTGCTTCCCCACCATAGGATTCTTGATGTGATTGGAAGAGGGAAAGAAAGTGAACCTTATGGTACACTAAGTGCCAGAGAACTATATTAATGGAATTTGCTCAAAGGTTTACCTATACTAGCCAGATTTATATTATTGGACCACAGAAAATAGCTCCTAACCAATAATAATGATGGAAATTTTGAATTTTACCAGGAGGTGATTCAGAATGCTTCTGACCGTGCATTTAAGCCTCCTTTTGTAGTACTGCCAACATTTACAGTTACCTCCTTCCATGTGCAGCCATTTATGATGGTGGAAATACTGAAAGCTTGATGAGTACCATGGACTGCACTAGCTAATACTACTTCCTAAACAAGTGAAACTATGACTGTGGGGGTTAAAAGAATTCCCATGTGTTTACCATTCATGGCAACTCTTCAGAATGGTAGGTTAATGTTGACCTATCTGAATCAGTCATCTATTCCTTAGTGTTTTTTAAACAAAATTGATGGATCAAACCGGGGTGCTTCAAGGCCCTCTACAAATTCCTCAAGTACAGTAAACCCTTCTAGAACATGATTTTACATGGTGTGATTTTGTTGTAACATGATTCAAAAAGTGCAACTAAAAAATTTTATAGCATGTAAGAATCTTCATATTTTGTGCTATAAAGCATGAAGGAATCTGCTAACATGCAAAGTTTTAATACACTGTTATCCACCATGGGTTTCCTTAACATAAAGTTATGTGAAAAATCTGGGTACTCTGTGCACTACTGAATATTTGCCATCTGTCCCAAGTTGGGCATTTGGTCCTATGGGTAATGAGTGTTTGTGGAGAGACAGCTTCCTGTCAAAACTGCCAAATACAGTTGCCTTCTGGGAGTGTTGGCTACCTCATGCACTGTGTTTATCAAACAATTTTGGATACTTTAATCACCTCATCTTTGTCTCTGGACATGTATTAAGCATGACATCCAAGAGAAATATTAGTGATGCTGGAAGTGCCAAGAAGAAGCCTGAGTCTATGAATGGTATTGAAGAAAGTGGAATTTTTTTTATTCTCTTCAAGGCAGTTCATGCTTATGGTCTGAGAGAGTCACCAGTTCACCTCAGCCCAGTTAGCACACATCAACCCTCTCCACACTTTTCCATGTCAACAAAAACAGCCTTACCAGAATATATATAGTAAGTTACACCAGAGTAGAGCACATTAAAAAAAAAAAAAGTTGCTTGGCATATTTGGAGGTGTTTGGAATGTAACTCTAGTTTTCCCATATGTTTTCACTTCACATAATACTATTTACATTTCATTTTCTGTAACATAACTCATGTCTTACAAGAGGGTATGCTGTAGAGTATATACTTTCTTGACTCCTGGTGCAGACATCTTCCTCCATTGGATTTTGTGGTGGGTTGGGGTTGGAAACAATGAAATCCAACTTCGGATTCTAAGTGTTTTTGTACTTATTGTGCTCTTATTTTTTCTGGTGAAAATCTTGATACAAGGAATCAAAGCTTACTTCATTTTCCTTATATCAATTTAGATATCCCCACTCCTTTGCTTTTTCAATATACTTGGGATCTTAACCCCATTTATAAAATTTACTGTGGCCTATAGCCAGTGACCTGTTTGGACTGTGACATACTTTGTTTTGTACTGCCATTGCCACTAGTGTTGAAGTTGTCATTGACACTTTTGCCACTGATAAACTTACCACTGATGCTATTATTGCAGCTGATACTGATGAAATTGTTGCTCTTGTAATACAGTCATCTCTGACAATAATACCCTTAATGTAAATTCTCTACCTTCACTCTGCTGCATCACCTGTGACAACTGTCCTTTTCCTTCTACTGATGTTCTCCTCAGCAACTCTACTGCTTCCTCTGTTATATTTTTTTGCCTCTGTTGTGTGGTACTATGACCCTTACTGGTTTAGCAGTTTCCAATGTATATAACAATTATTCTCAGTGTAAAACTACCTCCCTTTTTTGTAATATGGAGAACACTGATTTAAACGCAGGGTGATTTGATATGCCATTAATTGGTGTTTTCAATTCACTTCTCGACTGCTTGCCAGCAGGCTACTGGAAAAAAAGAATGTGGCTACACTGGATAGGAAACCACCACCCCTCCTCACAACCCTCCCCTCCATCCTTGCATGGCCCACTGCCTAAAAGACATGGAGGTTATGCATTCCATGAAAACTCGTATATTGTACTCTACATGTTATCATTGTTTTTTTCTCACCTGAATGTTGTGTCTGCCCCTGGAGTGGAAACTTTTGACAAGAAACATATTTTTTTAGTATGGGATGCTTTTCTGAGCTATATCTAACTGCCTTCATCTAGAAAATCTGGTTGATTTATTTTATTTTTTATTTGAAATAAACTTGCTAATGCTTCAACCATCCAACAAAACATGCAGACTGCCCTGGCTGCACCAGCCCTACATGATGATCCCTTCTGCAGACTGTTAAATTCTCATTGCCTGAATCATCCTAGATTTCTGTTTGTGTCCTGTATTGTGAGGAATGTGAGATTTGCAGCCTAAAGGAGGAAAGCATGATGTATGGCTAACCCATAACCCATCTTCATCAGAAATTTTGTTTGTGTCATTTTAAAACTTGACATAATGAATCACATCTGCAAATCCATTGATCACAATAACCAATCTTGTAAGTGCACTCCTTGCCTTAATTTAAATGATATATACATCCTTCTTGCTCTTGACAGTACCCAATTTTCAAATGGAAATGTGATATCTATTACAGTTTTTGAAAGAAAAAGAAGGCATGCTATATGGGAAGCTATCAGCCTTCTCTTACACCAGTTGCCCCTTGCCCATTAATCTGGACATAAAGCAATGACCAAACACATTTACACCTGTATTCAATATGACATCATTTCCCATTGGTTGCTGGAGCACGAAGGCAAGGAGACAAACACACACACACACACCAGGCCTAGTGTCTAATCGACATGTGCCTAGACAAAATGGTAACACACACACACACACACACACACATCAGGCCTAGTGTCTAATCGACATGTGCCTAGGACAAAATGGTAACTAACACACACACATCAGGCCTAGTGTCTAATCGACATGTGCCTAGGACAAAATGGTAACTAACTAACTAACCAGGCCTAGTGTCTAATCGACATGTGCCTAGGACAAAATGGTAACTAACACACATCAGGCCTAGTGTCTAATCGACATGTGCCTAGGACAAAATGGTAACTAACTAACACACACATCAGGCCTAGTGTCTAATCGACATGTGCCTAGGACAAAATGGTAACTAACACACACACATCAGGCCTAGTGTCTAATCGACATGTGCCTAGGACAAAATGGTAACTAACACACACACATCAGGCCTAGTGTCTAATCGACATGTGCCTAGGACAAAATGGTAACTAACACACACACACACACACACCAGGCCTAGTGTCTAATCGACATGTGCCTAGGACAAAATGGTAACTAACAGCCAGGAGCTATGACCTGACCCCTGCAACCACAACTAGGTGAGTACATACACACACACACACACAAGAGGGTGGAAAACCAGAGATCTGGTGGATGAACCTGGGAGGAAAGATCGACATTAATTGACATTAATTGGCATTAATTGACATACATAAACTACTTTATATATAGTCCCTTGTTATGTAGAGCATTTCAAGCAACCTTAATATTAACTTATAACTAATAACAGTTATACATTAAGTATAGTTTAATAGAATGCTGTGGTTTGTAATATGACATTTTATATAGTGTACCAATTTGGCTTTTAATTAATGACTCGTGTAAGAAGTTGTTATAACATTAGTAGTAGTGAATACTAAGGCAGAGCATAATAAAGGTTATTTCATATATGTAGAAACAATTGCTGATAGCGAGAACTTCATTATGAATGCTAATATGATTTGAATCAACAGGGTTGCTACTGATAAATCAGGTTTTAACATAAATTAATCTAATCAGCATTTAAGGCAGATTTAGGAGTTGTTTTTTAACTATATTTTTGAAGTAGGTGGCTGAAGGAGAATTTTTTGATCATCTGGAAAGGCGTTTCAAATTTTAGGGTCCTTTATTTGCATGGAGTTGAAATATAGGTTGAGTCGAATATGTGATATATCTAAGAGATACTTATTTCGTGTATTATGTCTGTGCATTCTGTTATAGCCCACTAGAAAGTCAGAGTGTTGCACTAAAGTTCATTCCATGTGTTCTGTATATATAAATTCACAGTTGTAAGTGTGGATATGTTGTCTGTTGAGTAAATTGTAACCTGACTGATTGAATGATTGATTATTCTAACAGCTAATTTCTGTTGAATTACAATGGGTGTTAGGTGATTTGCTGTAGTAGATCCCCAAGCATAAATCCTGTAAGTGAAATGAGGATAGATTAGAGATTAGTACAGACTAAGTAATGTTTGATAGAATGCCCACAGTTGGGGAAATTTTCTTAGATGTGTTGGATGAGTGTTGAATTTCAGGCCGCATTTAAGGTGTATCATTAAGAATTTCACTCATCTCGTCTTTCTGTATGTGATTTATTTATTTTTCTTGTTGAAATAGAGAGTTGTAACTTTAT